CATCCTATAAAACATGAACATAGTATCAAATTACGTTTTTTAAATTAAACATATATCTTCTCTGTAAACCTGCAGAAACCATAATACATTCAAAAAATTGTCACAAGATAGTTACATAATTTAGTTTCTTTTTTTAAATGTAATTATAATTTAATCATCCATTCATATTTTCAGAAAGTGAAAGATATTTTGAAATTTTTACAGCATCAAATTTACTACCTAAAAGACAGATGTTTGTTAGGGGATAGAAGGGAGGGACGTTTTATCTTACCACTCCAATGAAGGCTGGTAATCTAGCTAATCTTGCTGAGTAGGAAGGACACATTCTTTGATACAGTATGGCTCTTTGGTCATATATATATATATATATATATATATATATATATATACCACTTAAATTTCAAAGATTACTCCTATATCTAAACCATATGATCTCTAATATATAAACTTATTTTGTTGTTGTTTTCAACAGATAACTGGACTCTCTTTCAAACATTTATAAACGATAAGCACTGGTAAAATGAAAACATCTTTTGGCACATTTGTGAAACCCATTCATGAAAATAGCCATTTGTCATATTAAAGATAACATACACAAGTGCTTCAAGGATACGGACATAAATTTTTTAAAGTTCTAATGAGAAATACTGGGGAGAGGTCATACTAAAACTTTCTGCTAGCTAGTTAAAATATTAGTTATAATATTAGTAAAATTGGTAAAATATTAGAAAAATTCTAAATAGCTAACTCATATTTATTTCAAAGGGTTATTCAGAAATATTTCTGGCTGGCCTCCTGTATTACATTTAACCTAGGCAGCTTTCTAAAGTATTTAGTACCTATTACAATTGTTCTTATTTTAATATATTAGCATGGAGGGTCCCTCTACTGGATTAGATTCTACAATGCAAAAAAATTCAAATATGACCACTGTTTTTCCTTATGACTGATGTTAAACTTGTGAATGTTTTAAACTAGCTCACCATTAAAGACTAGCAGTTATACACTTTCCTAAGTAAAACTACTTTTTTTTTTTTGCTCCCCCACCCTTCTAGAAAAACTACTCTTACTCATTAATATAGGTAAGCAGAAGGTAAGCAGAAATGGGGAATGGGAATACGCAACACATACACAAGTGTATACATTCCCTACCCTCACTTCCCACATTGGCTTCTGAGTTTTTAATAAGCAGGGGAGAAATGGATGATTGTAATATTCTTTTATGGTCTCTTCTGCTATTAGCAACGAAAGTAAAATGTGGTTCTGGATTAACCAAAAACTGGATTATATGGCCCTGAAGGATTTATTAAGAAACTGCTAATTTTTTTCAAATAAAAATTGCAATTTATTAATAAATATTTTATAATTTACAAAATTGTAATAATGCCTAATAAAAATTGTAATAATGCCTAATAATTTACTATTTATTGACTTATGAAGTATATATACTTACTACTTTAAAATGGAAATGACCAAAAAGGGGTATACGTCTTATGTTAAACTTCGATCAAAAAAAACAAAAAAAAAACAAAAAACAATTCTGAAGTCAGTTCATGTTTATATCACTTTAAGCTTTATTTCTCTATAGCAGAATCAAATCAGGAATATTAAGATCTTGGGTCAGAAATTACAGTCTGGGTAATGTAGATCTTATCATCTAAATAAGGAAAACGAAAAACCTTCACTTGCAATTCTAATCTGTAGTTTCAAAAACTAGGAGAAAAGATTCACCTTAAATTTAGAATTTTTTTTTTTTTTAGCAATTTCCAAGTTAAAGACTACTTGTGTCATCCCTACATTGAAATAAGAAAAGTGCTACAGTGTCATTAAACTGTAAAAATTATCAGAATGTATTTAGCCAACAATATGCCAATGCCATCACTGCTCTCATCAACAAGCAGTTCTATGATGCAGCGTGAAATGCTCGTGTTTAGACTCTCGCTCAGGTTTCTGGCTATATTCGCTGAACCGCCCTCTCCCTACTGGACGTCCACCCATTCCAGAGTACTTGTCAGTTACCACAGTGTACGTGGCCCTTGAACAGTCTCTTGCCTTGAAAAACCTTCCCTACTCTGTGTGTCTTTAGGAAGCAGTTCACAGGACATCTCCTCTGTGAAGTCTCCCCATGTCCTCGCAGGGCTTTGTGCATCCGCCCATCACACCATCCTCCTGAGCACCGCAATTACTTGTTAACATCCTCGTCCTTCCCAGACCCACACCTGAGTACCTTCCTCCACATCCGTGTGATCTTAACATCTAGGTGCTCAACGTTTGTAAAATCACAAAAATAAATGCGTCTGAGGTATTCATTTTCTCTTAAAACCCATCCAGTAAAGATTTCTTTTAAAAATATGAGTTGAAGGACAACACTGCAATGTCTACAGAGACTATCTCACCTCTCACAACCCAAGTGTATCAGACACTTGTTTCTCTATGATTAATTAATTAGGTCAACAAGCCCATTTCTGAGATCGAAAGATGAAGGGCACTAACACTGCATGAACCAAATATGGTTAAAAATCTGAAGTATGTGGCATCAGCTTTAAAGGAGAAAAGAGCAAAAAAAATGAACTGCCCTTAAAAAGAATGATTGTATGTTTATCAAACACTCAGCTTCATTTAGGCATTTAATTAAGCCATTTATTGCTTCAAATGTGTCACCATGAACATTTTAATGTACACTCCACACCAGTAAGGCCTCAGTTTTCACCACCTATAAATTGTGAACCCACATTTGGACTTTTTTTGTGTCATCAATTGTTACACAAGTTTTTACAGAACAAAGATTTTGAATCTGTATTTTATAATAGCAAAAATGCTTATCTCACCCCTTGGTGTAAATGCCTCAAAGAATATTAATAGTTGGCCATATTTTTTTTTTTTTTTGAGGAGGTAGTTCTATGTTTTGGCCCATATCTATCTATATATATAGATATATATATATATATAATCTCAGATACTAACAGGTTCCACCAATTACTAGATAAGGGAATGAAAGTTTGGTTTCCTTCTTTAGAGAGGCTTCATAAAATAGTCAATGTTTGAGGTTAAATTTTGTCAAAATGTTTTCAAGTGATTTGGTAAGCAGTGGAATTCACACACGGAAAGGGGCTGCAGCAGCTGGAAATAGGGATGTTCCTGATTCAGACAAGGAACTTTCTCTTAAAATAAGGCTGAACATATAAGGCTTTTTCCTTTGACCAATTCCTAGAAAATGAATGAATTTGGGAAGTCATTATATATAATTAGAAGATTAAACAATACCACAGAGTATCTCCAGGCAACATGCTAATAAGCTAACGGAATGCTACTTTATATGTTATTTCTTAGAGTTTTATAAAATCTCCATGAAAATACTGAGTGTTATGGAATCATGATACTCATAGATACTGTGAAATCATGAATCCCCACAAACGAACCAACTTTGTTTTATGGGCTGTCCAGCTATAAAATCAGTCTGCAACAGCTCAGAATTGAGGATTCGTGAAGGTAAGAGAGACCTCTGAAATCCCCTATCTAACCGATACCCTTTGGGTAGCACTGCATAGATTTTATGGTCTTCTGAATAAGTTCTAAGAGGCTCATAAGTGGTTTTGATTAAAGCAGAAATCTAATGGACCCAGTAAGTTTCAACATAAAAGAAATGATGTAATAAGTATTTCTAAAGTTTTAAGGATTTTTCTACCAACCTGACTTGGTAGTATACCTGAAATAAAACCTCCACTATGCAAAATTTATAATTTAAATAGCACCTATAGAATAAAAACCTTAGGAGTGCTTTACAGACATCCTGCAGCCAGCATCACCCTGGTTTAATAAGGCCCAGAGTGATTCAAAATGTGAATTAACCATCATACCAGTATGTGGTAGTATCCAGAATAGAACTGCATTTTAAGCTCCAATCCAGGAGGTCTCTTTACTTCAATTGGCCACGCTGCCTCAAGTCAAAACAACTACTACCATTATTTTCATTTTATCTACCATAATTAGATTTCTTTCATGTCTCTTAGACTGAAGGAAAAGCCAGAGAGATGTTCTAGAAAAATACATTTGCATTTCAAATTTACATTAAAAATGTCTTTTCCCTATTTTCACGTCATGAATTCCAAGCACTGTTAAAGAAATCAAAGATTACACAGCATTCTGTGTCCTGGGCCTCTGTCCTTTTTAGATTATGAAAACTGGAAGTTAATTGGAATTAAGAAATTTTCCTTATTAAGTGTGTAAAGTATAAATACAAGTAATTTTTTAAAAACTTTATTTTAACACCTAATACAATTCCAATTTTAAGGATTACTTGCACAAAAAAATAAACACATTTGGTATAAAAATGTATCACTTTAACACCCTTTCCCTTTAGGCCCCTCCCCCTCCCCCCATGAACTGCACTCTATCCAGATGCAGAAACATATAAAGACTAATGGCACAGATTCGTTTTTACCTACAGGAGTTTCTGTTTATGTACCCAGGTACTCTAGAGGACACCAGCCCACTTTATCACATGAACCATTTCCTTCAGCCTGCTGAATTTAGTTTCACAAAGAAACAAAGCTTATTATAAAGGCATTTGAAAAACCATTATCTTAAATTCTTTTTAGAAGCACTGACTTTTTTTTTTTTTTTTTTTGCAACCATTTATATACAGTGTTACATAACAGCTCTGGAGTACAGTACATGCAGCAGAACATACCTGTTGAATATAAAATACTTTTCTTAAAATCTTCATCGTTGGAATTCTCAGAAGTCTAAATTATAGAATGCCCATTACTTTGAGAAAATGGTTGAGGAGTACAAATGTCTGCATATGTTGGCCACTGAAATAATCCAAGGCTAACTGGAATAATATTCGTAGCACACCAGGAGTGCATAAATAATTTACTTACATTATTAAAATACAACCCATAAAATTCAAGTTCAGGATCTTACAGGATTGTCTATGTAAATCCTTGAAGTGGTTGCCTGGAAATGCATTGTGTCTTCTTTCTCTTTCTTCTTTTTTCAAGTCCTATATAAAATGTTTAGTTGAAGTTTTTTCTTCCTCAAATGAAACGAACGACCACCTTTATTTGTGCCGACTGCCTCTTCTCTTCATTGCAGCAGTGCACTGTGGACAGTACCATTTTCCTTTTGGTGCTTCTGTCAACCCAACACATCCATAATGGAACCATTCTATTGGGCACTGGAAAGCAAAATGGCAGAGAAATAGTTTTTAATACCTCCAAAGATTACAGAGTATAATATGCCCACTAGACTGAATATTAATAATAAGATTCATGGAAACAACTTTTAGATCTAGGAGCTGATTTTATAGGTCACTGAATTCCAGTGATAGGTTTAAGAGATAAGGAAATGGAGGCACAGACAAAGTATGCATCTCTGTTAACTCAGAGGTTAATGTCATCTATATTCATGATCCCAAGTAATGAACAAAATTCACTAATTCTCCTTAAGCCAGAGAGTAAGTTGATACTAACTTTCAAGGACAAGAAGTGAGATGGATCTCTCACAACGAAGGCAAATACATTTTACAGATTTTATTTACTATTCAGCCTTATTCACTCCCTCGTAAAGTAGCATGAGCTAGTTGCAATGAAAATCATAAAGGGATGCCTTGGAATTCCTCTCTGGGTAGATCTATTCCTACATATGCAGAGAAAAGGGATCCTACTCTGTAACGTATTAAGCAGTTCTACACCTGCACAGAAAATCTTAGCACTCAGAAGAGCACAAGTAGGAATGAGAAGAATCAGAGAATATGATGGGGTATTCACAGAAATGCATCATTTGCACTAACTTCCCCAGGAGGTTACAATGGTGTTCTTGGAATGACTGGGCAATATTGTTATACAATAATCACAAACAGCCCACAAGTAATTCTAAAGGGGGAAGTGGAAGGACAGTCTTTCTCTAACTATGTGAACATGTTGTTGGGACCCTGTCAGGTCAGGAAAGCACAGACTTTAATGTACCAAGACAAACCTGCTCAATCTTCAGGTTATTTTTAAAAAGTTTAAACTGCTACTATTAACCTTAGGATTCTGACATTATGGATTCTTACTTCTTTAGAATTCAGGGTTGCTACTCCTCTGCAGGAAAAGATGGAACAAAAGGGGCTGGAAGTTTGAGAAAGTGAGGGAGTGAAATTACGAGAAAAAATATTCTCAGCATCCAATAAAAATATATCTCTAACCAAAATTCAGCTTCGTAAAAAAACAAAACAAAACAAAAAAAGGGAATTCTTTTCTTTCAAAGCTCCTTTACTTTTTATATCACAAGTGGCTCTTACCAGCAGACAGCTGCTGGATACAATAGGATACACTACACTGATAGGAGGAAAATAACCTCACAATATACCACCCCCCACTCCCGCTAGCCACAGGCTTCCTGACACAATGTACTGTTTTAAAGCTCCAGTTCTTCACTGTGGTAAATGAACTGGCTTCTAGTTAACACAGTATTATTTAGCAAAGGAGGTGGAGGATGTTTTTAATTTTCATACAATGTATCACCTTTTGAGATTTATAATTTGCAGATGAAACTATAAAACTAGCTTTAAGGGGCGCCTGGGTGGCTCAGTGGGTTAAGTCTCTGCCTTCGGCTCAGGTCATGAGGTCAGGGTCCTGGGATCAAGCCCCACATCGGGTTCTCTGCTCAACAGGGAGCCTGCTTCCCCTTCCCTCTCTGCCTGCTGCTCTGCTTACTTGTGATTTCTCTGTCAAGTAAATAAAGAAAATCTTAAAAAAAAACAAACCCAAAACTAGCTTTAAAAGAGTTTTGAATTGGGAGCACATGAAGGGACACTACCATGTTTTGGAGAGAAATATTCTAGCATTAATATAATGTATTTAACATAACTGCAGACTTGTTTTCACAGACTGAATGATTCCATAAATAAGAAAAATGTTTAAGTAGTAATATTTCGTGATTTTTTTTTCATTCCTAAATAGAAAAATTTAATACTTACATCTTGGTTATCACAGCCCACCATCTCGCCATAGGATACCTAGTTAAAATAAAAGTAAATATTTTTTATTATGACTATGTGACAAGCATCTAAATCGAAATTGTTGATGATACTGTTAGAAAACAGACAGGAATATACAATTGCATTAAGAAATAGGGTATATAGTTTTTTAGTAAAGAGTTTATAAAGATTTATAGCACAGAGGGGAAATACACAGAAATTATGTGCTCTTTGAAAATCTGAAAGAACCTTGACAAATTACCTTTGTGGGTGGTTTCTTTTGTAAGACTTTAAGTTTCTTTTTGGGTTACTTACTTACTTAAGGTTTCTATTTTTTCTTGGGTCATGTTGGGTCATTTATATTTTTGCAGTCAATAGTTGAAAGTTCTAAACTTATTACCAATTTACTATTTGCCCTCTCACATTTTTCTTTCTTCTGTTCATCACCAGCACTTTATAATACAATTTCCTAATTCTTGAATTAATTTAAGTTCTCAATGGACAGAGAAATGTTTCAGACAGTGTTATGACTAGATGGCATACTATCTGATTCTCTGCATGATTGAGCATATCTGTACATGGTTCACACATGAACGACTCTGGTTAACAATTTTTGGGGGGCACTCAGATTTTTCTCTCAAAGCTCTACAGATCTATTTCATCAACTAGTTTTTAGTGTTATAGATGAGAAATCAGGGTGAGTTTGATTTTGTTCTTTTTTAGGTGATCTATTTTTACTACCAGGATCTGTACAGAATTTTCTTAATAACTGATTTTAAAAAAATGTTTGTCAGGTGACAGGAGAAAACCTAACAGTCTCTTAAATGGCGAATTCTCAAAAATTAGATTGCCAACTTACACCATAAATACAATAAATTGCAGATGGATTAAAGTGGGTTTTTTTTTTTGCAGATGGATTAAAGATTTAAACGTATAGAAACTGAAGTATATCAAGAGCTAGACAAAGCCATTTGCAAATGAGAAAAAAAATGCAAGACACAGCTATAGGGGGAAAAGGCAAGAAGGTCTTCTTAATAAGCATATAACCCACAGTTGACTTCATAAAGAAAAAGACTGACAGCTGTAAAACTGGAATTTCAGAATTAAAAACAAAATAAAAAACTAAACCAAGCAAAGTATTTATAATGTACATGACAAAAATGATAGAAAAATAGGCCAACACCAATGAGTCAATTCATAAAAGAAATAAAAGTAGCCAAAAAAAGAGTCCAATTTTACTACTAAGGTAAATTGAAATCACTGTGTAATATAAAACTATCAAACTGGTATAGGGTTTCTGAGACAAAATAGTATCCAGCACTGGACAGGGTTTAGGAAACAGGCATGCTCATCAGGTTTTGGTAATGAACTTCAGAAGGTAATTTGGTAGTCTGCAACTAATATTTTAACTTAGTTTTACTTCTAAAAGATTATCTTAGAAATTAGATGTGTAAAATGGGTTACATAAAAAAATGCCTACCATATTTGTAATCTCAAAAAAATTAAAACCACTACAAAAACCTATAGCTAAATCTGGTTTAAAAAGTTACCCACAGGGGCGCCTGGGTGGCTCAGTGGGTTAAAGCCTCTGCCTTCAGCTCAGGTCATGATCCAAGGGTCTGGGATGGAGCCCCGCATCGGGCTCTCTGCTCAGCGGGGAGCCTGCTTCCCACCCTCTCTCTGCCTGCCTCTCTGCTTATTTGTGATCTCTGTCAAATAAATAAATAAAATCTTAAAAAAAAAAAAGTTACACATAGTATAACACATAACTGTGAAAAAATTTTAAAGGATTACTTCAAGAAAAATGATATTCAGTACACATGACTTTATGAAAAAGTGTTACAGAAAGAATATACTGTGATCCAACTGGTCAAATTCACACACATACATACACACACAAACACACACATACACATCTGTGTGTACATCTGTGTAAGAGACTGAATGTTTGCGTCTCTCCCCCAAACTCCTGTGTTGCAGCCGTATCCCCCATTAGGACTGTGTTTGGAGATAGGGTCTGTGAGACGATAAAGGCTAACTGAGCTCAGACAGGTGGAATCTTAATCCAACAGAGCTGGTGCCTTTATAAGAAGAGACACCAGAGCTCTCTTCACCATGTGAGGATACAGCATGAAGGGGGCCCTCTGCCAGGGAGGAAGAAAGTCCTCACCAGGAATGGAATCAGTCAGCACTTTCATAGTGGACTACCTAGCCTCCAGAACTGTGAGAAAATAGAATTCTGCTGTTTAAACCACCCAGTCTGTGGTATTTTGTCATAGCAGCCTGAGCAGACTCAGACACCATGCATGTGGGGTATACAGTAGTGATAAACCAAAACGTCTAATTACTGGTTATATCCAAGGGCTGAGAGCATGGGTGACTTACACATTCCTTTACACTCTTTGTATTTACAGCAAACATGATTTTGCAAGGAGCAGAAGAAAATTATAGAAGAAAGCAAAAGTATTTTAACTGGAAAAAATGAAAGAGCTCTCTGTTTTCTATTTTATTCAGATTATGCTTGTACAGACATATCAGACTTTTACCTGATTGCAAATGCAATATCGTGGTTCATTTGGGTCATAAGTCCAATCAACTTGACTGTTTGAATCAGACTCTGGTACTACCGTTGTTTGTTGAGAGATTTCTTGTACAACGGTTGATGAAGAAGAACATGACGACAAGGAAGAGGAGGAGGAGGAAGACGAGGACTGCTGACTTGAAGATTTGTTGTTGTTTCTGACAAAAAAAAACAGTATCAGTTTCATTGGCTCAGCATCCAGAAGTTACAGGAGAATAATTCCTAAATGAGTGGTATGAAATGAAATGACACTAAGCGTGCAAATTAACACTTAACATGAAGTTGAACTAACTTGATATACAGATTTAATAGCACAATTGTTGACAGCAACAAAGAGCAAAAATTTTCATAACAGATAATTTTCGTTTGACATTTTCTGTTTTCTGGAGAATAAAGATATTCAAAAAAAATTCTTTCAAGCTATGTTTTTACGATAATTTTTTTAATCTACTACTACTTAACATTGACTTAAATTACAGGTAATAGTTTGAAGAGCTAGTATTAGTTATGGCTGTCTTGCAGATATTCTTTGTATTTTTAAGCAAACTGAATACTCTTCATCAAAATCATCTCATCAACTGCCTTTGTGTATTTGTATTTTAGATTTTGCATTAGTTTATATTAAACACATAACAGAATAAGGGGTTATAAAGGAAAAAAGTTCCAAATAATGGCTTATCCTAATGAACAAAAGAAAGTAAGCAAAAGTTATTTCTACTCAATTTAAGACTCTAGAAAAAGTAAAGACTTTAGGGGCGCTTGGGTGGCTCAGTAGGTTAAGCCTCTGCCTTCGGCTTGGGTCATGATCTCAGGGTCCTGGGATCGAGCCCCATGTCCAGCTTTCTGCTCAGCAGGGAGCCTGCTTCCTCTTCTCTCGTCCAGCTCTCTGCTCAGCAGGGAGCCTGCTTCCCCTTCTCTCTCTGCCTGCCTCTCTGCCTACTTGTGACCTCTGTCTGTCAAATAAATAAATAAATCTTTCAAAAAAAAAAAAGATTAAAGACTTTAAAACCTTTTAAAGACTTTACTTCCCCAGAGTATAGCGGTCTGAATGAAAATGTCATGATCGTGACCATCAATAGACATGTGAACACTTACCTGTGCAAGACAGGAAAGTGTTAAAATTCACAAGTAATTTACCAAAATTTATATGCTAATTAAATTGTATGAATTTTATAAATTTTACAAATTTTACATCATGTCTTCCTGCCTCCCCCAAGTTCATCCAGATCCATTATACCTACCTTTGTTTCACATACCCAAGCCCAGCCGGATGCCAAGCAGACTGCACACTTGGTAGAACTACAGGGCATACCTTATAGCAAAGGTACAGGGCTACTATAACAATGCAACTTACTTGCTCTTTCTCCCACTCCGTGAGTCAGCTGCCGATGAACTGGTGTTCTGTGTTAATGTAGTCATGAGTGCTGAAGATGATGAATAGCCAGCTGTTTCTCTGGGCATTGAAAATTCTTTCCCCAGCTGAAAGTCATTATTCTTAAATGCTTCATAACTGGCTTTTAGACTTGATGTTCTTCGTCCCTCTTTCATCTTAAACAGACATTCACTGATAATATTAATATGCATATATATGCAGATTTTCTTTTTCAGTCCTACTAGAGTATTATGTTAGTTTATCCAATATTATTTTGTTTAAACCATTATTTTCATCACTGTCATTTCAGCTATTTTATGTAAAGATTTAAAATCGGTTTTTACAGTTAGGAGGGAGCTACAGAACTGGTAACTTAATTTGGAATACAAACTGTAGAGCGGTGAACATTAAGGCGGTGTGAGTTGTGAGGCTTTTGGAGGAAACCTGGCACCGGGAGGGAGAACCAAGTCCTGTCCTCGTAGGTGCCGGGGCTCATGGTCAACAACACACACATCATGAGCCATCGCTCATGTGTGAAGGGATCGGCACGAGCTGGCACCAATCTATTTGTTACTTTTCATGATCAATCAGGTAAATTAATGCACATAAGTTTCATCAAATAAAATGTCAGGTATCATAAAACCATGATATAAAAATGAAACTCTACAGTGTAAGAGAACGCCTTCTGTTCACATCTAGTTGTTTCCACTAGAGTTTGCCAATGAATCAGACAAAATGTACCTGCTACTTCCAAACCTCTTCCTTTTTACCTGAGCTGTGGCTTGAACTGCTTGAGCTGCAGCCATGGTAATCGCCCCTGCACCGGTTCCTGAAGATAATGAGCCAATATTGTAGGATGCCAGAGGTTGGGAGGAATTCACATTGTAAGCATTGTTGGAAGAGGCTGTAGAATTATTGTTTCGACACCCTATGTCAAATTAAAGAAAAATAAAAATGGTTGGAGAGAACATGATGTTAGTGAGCTTAAAATACATTATTTCCCAGTACAGATATAATCATTAAATTTAACATTTTCATGCCACCATCCAATTTTCATGTCCCATTTTTTCCTTTTTCTCCTTTCTCCATCTGTAGACTATAACCAAGTAAAAAAATCTGTATGATTTGCTAATCCTGAACGCTTTCATTTCCCCTTTAACACAAACAAAAAACAAACATTCCTATTTGAAATACTGAACTTACCTAGTGTATTTTCCTTAGAGGCATCTGATGTAAGCGTAGATAGAAGAGCTTCAGATTTAAACTTCTTTTCAGGAATATGATCTGTTGTTGCATGGTGAGAAGTCGGATTATATTTCCTTTCTGAATATAAATAAAGAATTTATGTGTTTTTAAACTTTAGAGGACTATGGACAAGACATAATACTTTCATTCAGTTATAAACAAGTATGTTATGTTCTGAGTTCTTCATGGAATACAGAACAATATGTTTTCTTGGAGGATGGGACCAGCAGAACTGTCTGGGTCACCTATTTTGTTAAGAGTAGCCTTCCCACACATTAAAAAAAGAAAACTTCAGTAGCAAAGTACTGCAGATAACCCATGATACACCGTGATTTTACACAGAACATGAGAGGAAGTTTGTTTTCAAAACATTATCCACAATTTTGAACAGTTTTCAACCAGCCCTTCTTTCATAGCAAATTGATCCGTCACAAATTACACTGATACAGTCTTCTAATCGGCCAACATCCAACCAACCATTTACTCACTAAACCACCAACCATTTGAGGTCTTCTTAATATGCCAAACAGTAGGTGAAGCACTGGAGAAGCAAGGAGGATAAAAAACCAAAGAGCCCACCACCATGTATTTTCTCATTTGTTTTGGGTTATAATACTCTCTAGAGAGAATCAGGTGTCTGTGTGTAGGAAGTATATGCTGCTACTAATACCATCCACTTGTCCTTGATGTATTCCAGAAAAAGCAAACACTCTACTCCCAAATCAAATATACTTTTCCCAAATGACGAAGGTAAGTCCACCAGGAACTGTAAGGAAAATGTAGATCTCACAAAATAAAAGGAAGGGAAGGATTTTTTTTTTTTTCTCAATTGGTTGTATGGGGCTAAATGAAAAGAATATACAGGCAATATAATGAGTTTTTAATTGTACTGAAAATTTTAGCTGCCCTAAACCAAACTTACTTTCCACTGGAGTATGTGAATGAGCATGATGATTGTTCACTGGCTGTGAAGGAGTATCTAATTCCAAAGATCCTAAAAAAGAAAGGCACAGAGATACATCTCCATTCAATGTCAAGCAGAACTTTACAGGTCAATCAACTACAGGCACTCTGTACCCTCACCTAGCAGAGGACTGGCAAGCCCTGATGCATAACCCTGTGTCATTTTCATCAAACGTGATAGAGAATAACCATTGCCAATTTCACACTGAGCCAATTTCATCCTCTTTCTAAATAATATGTAATCTACTTCTTACTATTCACCTTAAGTACGAAACAGCTCAAGGCATGCTAATGTCTAATTGGGGAATTCAGGACAGCGGGTAGGTACCACATAAGTGGATGAATGGATATTATAACTCCATTACTGATAAGATCTGAAAAACTTAAACTAGTTATACTGGGTTGAAGACCTTTCTATGCAAGATCCTAAAGTATTGGGGCGCCTGGGTGGCTAAGCGGATTAAAGCCTCTGCCTTCGGCTCAGGTCATGATCCCAGGGTCCTGGGATCGAGCCCCACATCGGGCTCTCTGTGAAGCAGGCAGCCTGCTTCCCTTCCTCTCTCTCTGCCTGCCTCTCTGTCTACTTGTGATCTCTGTCTGTCAAATAAATAAAATAAAATCTTAAAAAAAAAAAAAAAGATCCTAAAGTATTAGGTGATGGGACATTACTATATGAAAGAAAATTTCTTTGATCATTAAAATAACATACGATAGTAAAGACTTCCTAAAAGAAGTTAGGCACAGAATCTCTACCGCCAAGCATTAAATACTTTTAAGAAGTTTTCTGGGTTTATCTTGATCCCTTGAGATGAAATTATGGCAGGGCACAGGGTGGAGTAGATTTTATGACTCAATTTCATTCAGTTTTGTGTGTCTGTGTCCTTAAAGAGGATGCTTCATTAACCTTCCTGCAGTACTGAATAGGCATGAATTATTGTTATTCACAGCTATTATTAGCATTAAAAAAAAAACTAGAACAGCTATAGAATATTTTATTTTGTCTCAAAATACTTACTATTCTCAGATAGGGTTTTCTTGGAATAAAAGTATCACAAATAAATTAGATGATCATCTGAAGTGATAGATCTACTTTTGAATACAAAAATGTCACTATGGATACCAAGATGGATTCATGATTAGGTTGTTCCCTTATTCTAGGGAGTGCGTACAATATACAAATGATTTAACACCATTAAAGAAATTTTTTATCAGTGTGTACAAACAGGTACATGTTCTTGCTGAAGAAATGCATCAAAAAAAAAAAAAAAGAATAAAGGGTAAATTGTAACTGGAGATCAAGTAGAACCTTGCAAGGAAATATTAAACTGTTTCTTACTGATAAGAAAAAATTTACTTCTTTGAGAAAAAGAGGAAATGCTTTAGTATCAACTAAATCTTTCTTACTAAGACAGTTGAGGAAAAGCCTTAAGGCAGTTCTTCGGAAGAAAAAATAACAACTTCCTCAGAGTTTAAGTGTATCCGCAGGCAGGGCAAAGTCCATACGTTTAATGACAGATGGTTAACTTATTTCTAGATGGTTCTATTTCTTTAAATCTTTATTCTCATCACTCATCTTACTAACATATCCGTATTAAAAAATGGAATGACTTAATATGTGATTTTAATAAAGAGTGAGTGTAGGATATCCTGTATCATCTGTCTCCATATCCAACCCAAACAGTTCTGGCTGCTAGATTCCACACTGTCCCACCCGGTTGCCACCATCCACAGAAGCACACCATCTGAGAAGTCTCCGTGGGACAAGTGTCTCCTCAGCAATTTGCACATGGGCTGTCCAACATTGATGGAAAACTGTAAATTTTACTTACGCCTCTCTAATATTTCTGTAATTCCAGCATTATCAGCTTCCAGCTCCATTTTAAACTTAGCCAGTTCCTGATCCAGCTTTCTCAAGTGTCGATCTACCTGTTTCAAAGAAGATCAAAGATAACCACCAAAATTTGGGACACTATTAAAGTGTCAGTTTAATGAGGAAACTAAATCTTTATTTCTTTTAGTGCATCTGCTTAGTATCCTTGAGCAAGTCAATGAACCTACACCTCAATATTCTAATCTATGAAATGAGGGCTAGGTAAAATAATATCTTAAGCCTCCCGTAATAAATTTGAAGTTTTAAGAAACCAGAATCACAATTTGTTAGAAAACATTCAGAACAACTGAGATGTGAAACTAAACAAAATGATACTTGGGATTTGCAGTGGGAGGAAGTGCGGGAGGGTTGGTAACTTTTTATAGTATACCCTGGGATTACTTTCGACCTAATCTCCTCCTACTTATAGTAAGGCCATCCACCACTCTGCCATACTATAACTGTTACTTAGAATGAAAAATGAAAGATCCTTAGTCTATAAACAAAGAGGCTACTATATTCTACACATACGTTTCTCTAAGGCAGAAAAGTAAACCGTTATACTCGTAAACATTTATGCAAAGGGTTGAAACAAAAGGGGTTTTTTAGCCAGAAAACTCCATTCCCCAAAGAGCTTGGTTAAAATGGTTTTATTGCTAATACTTTGGCCCTTGTGAAGGTGGCAAATTTTATTTTCTCATTCAACTACAGATCTCTTGACTGATTTCAGAAAATTATATGATATTTCAAACTAAGAACAACTAAGTCTTAATTTTTTAAGGTTAATATTAAATATTTTTCAATACTTTTTCAAATTTACCACTATACGTGAAAAAAGAAAACATAAATTTTCTGAAAAATATTGTAATATTATTGACAACATCTTTATCAAACTCTTGATTGGCAATGGATCATTATTAAATAATTAAGAGTGACTTTCTTATTCATCATGAAGGCAAAAAAATTAAGAATGAAATAATGTATACCTAAATTGAAGGAGATGGGTAGAAAGGTAGCAAAAGACAATTTTTGTGTGTTAGATGCCATGAAATGTCTGTGGTGCATTAGATGTTCTTCTATCTTTTCTAGTCCTTGAACTAATCTTCTGACATAGGTTATTACTGTCTCCATCTCGTAAGTGAAGAAACTAAGGCTCAGAAGGGTTAAGTAACATGCCCAAAGGCAATAGCTAATGCATTATGGAAAAGGGATTTAACTCTGATCTATTCGTAATAAATTGTTCTTCACCATTTATACCTAACATTGTCCTCTGAACTTCTGCATGTAGCAGCCAACTGTTTTTTTTTTAACTCAGAATAATATAATTCAAATTGAAAAATAAAAATAATTTCTTGTTATTTATATTTCTTTTATTAACAGCACCCAGCGGGGTATTGGTTAGTGACTTTTCAATAATTTAAAACCCACTTTCTGTCCATCTTCACACACAAGTTATTGTTCAGAGTTTGGCAGAATCTAAAATTACAATATTTAAAATCCTATAGAGGCATGTATTATGGACAAATGCTCCTATTCAAAGAACACGCAGGTAATTGAGCATCCTTTAATGGAAACTCCCTTCCAATTAATTAAGTGTGAACACAGACCTCAGTTATTCAAGAATATCTCCTACATTGTCAAAATTTAATCTCAAGGGAAGTCAGAAACAGTACTCATATTTAAATTCCAAGACCACTTAATGCAATGAAAATATTCCACCACCTTTATTACCTACAATATTGAGATTTGTGCTTGGCATTGGGTTAAATGGAAAATACATGAAAAATGAGAGAGAATCCCTGCTTTCATAGGAATTGCAATTTGGAGGACAAATCAAGATTTATGTGAGCTTTTTAACATAATAAATGTTTTAAAATATATATACCCTAGATGTAGCAAATAAGAAACAGCTAGAAAAGGATTAGAAGTAGTACATAAAAAATACATATATAACCTTGGGCTGTGGTAGACACAAAGGAGGTAAATGAGTTAGAGGGTGAAGAATGTACTGTTTTCAAATAGATGGAAAGAAAAATTAATAATTAAAGAATGAATAGAAACAGGAAAACAAATAAGATTCTCAGAGGGGGGGAAAAAAAAGTAAAAGTATGATGTGGTCTACAACAGTTATCTACAGTATAGACAGGCAGAATGTTAAACTCCTGGTCAGGAGGATGCAGTCAGAGATGAAGACATCATGTACCCTCCCCCAACTCCTTCCACCCCTGTGTTGAAGAACTGCTTCAGTGTGTTAAAGATAGTACTGATAGGAATTATTACACATGAGAGCATGAAAAATAATGACGGAATTTCCAATACTAGCGGCTCCGAAAAAGGAATAGAAGTCAAAGACTTAATAATTCTAAAAACAGATACATAATTAAATATAGAAAAGCCTAAACCACATTGTGGTAGACAGCTTTGTAAGATAGGTTCCAGTCATTCCTACCTCTTGGTAGGTAAAAAAAGATTATGAACTGATGAATATTAGAAGCAATTATTAGGCAATAAGGATTGTTTTTCTTAGAATCACTGCTACTGTACTAAATCAAATTAGAAGTTAGAAAGCTTTCCACAAGGTTTAACTCAAACTACGAAGCAACAGAGTACTTCAACAGCATTAAACAGCCATAGCAAGAGCTCAACTGAACTTTCCTGAAACCTGCAGAGTACATCTCCTCTACCCCCATGATTCTGAAGGGGCAAAAGCACCTACTCTGGCAGATTACCATAATGGCCCCAAAGGTATCAGGCAAGGCAAGAACCTAAATTACCCCACTCCTCCACACACACCTGACCTCATAAGATTGATTTATAGTAGTAGAGAGGGTAGTACTCTAATTGAGAAAGATTTTCTATTAACCACAGACTCCTAACACAAGGCTGACCACAGAGTCTAATTATCGATTTGTTCCCCACTTAATGTCAATAAATACTAGCCACAAAAGCTTCCCTATTCTATGGACTCAAATCATATCTCACAACCCCATATACAACTGCTTTAATTTTAAACCCATTCTCTTCTTTCTGAACTCTTCAGAGCCAAAGGAAATTCTGTCAACGTTATTTGTTAATATCTTGATGATCACAAAGATAAGTCACATTTGGCACCTCTACATGAAACAGAAAAATCCTCATATTTTAACATTTTAGCATAGAGTTGTAATCCTTTATTCTTTCTCTTTTGACTCCCAGTCTCAATATTCATATTTTAAGATGTCACTGATGCACCCAAACTGAACTAAATACAGCTTTTCAAAAAGTTTCTACATGATTTATGGCTTCCAATACCGTTAAATTCTAAAATTTAAATATTTAGCTTGCCCTTTCAGAATGAACACAAGTTATTCTATCAAGTTCTAAGGTGAAATCCTTGGCAATGACAGTTAAATTTCTAACTATGAGAAGATCTGGTAATAGTGAATAAAGAGGATAAATTGGAGAAGAAAAAGGAACCATGATGGCAAATTATTTCTCTGTTAAGTCATGAAAATGATTCTTCACATCTCTTAAAAATAGGTGAAAATCTGATCCATGTTTAGGCTGAATCAAGTATTTGAGGCCTTAGCATATAAACTACATCTAACCTTCCTAAAAGACAGTAAGGATAGGAAACAAGTCAAAAGGTCAAACTTATATATTTCTTTAATCAGAATATCAGATGAAGAATTCTCCAACTTATAGGTAAAATGTACACCTGAAATATAATCATCTCAGCAATAGGCCAGGATATAAAAAAGAAGCAAGCTCAAAGGTACTGAGCAGTATGAGACTGCTAAAATCATTCAAGCATTAACTAAAAGCTCAATTTAGAAGTATACATAAATCAACTTTAATAGGTTTTGTAATCTAATACAGCCTGGTGACAACGACATCTGGCTGAGAAACCCAAATAAGTGTTTAATGACTAAGAGTATCAGGATTCTAGAGGGAAATTATTTGGATAGGACAGCTTTTTTGTTGTTGCTTACTTCCACTAAAACAACCACTGAAATAACTAAACTCTCGGTTTGTTCTACTGAATCCCTAATTCCACCAATCTCCTCATTTGTGGATATTTATGTAGTCTGGTTTCTTTCCTTAATAAATGGAGTAACCAGTACGATACTAGTCATAGGTATAAAAAGTGTACTACTGACTTTAGAAGTAAATAATACAATGAAATACCATGTTATGTAAAACACTGAGGGGCAAAATCAAACATAATATTGTACCTAATTCCTGTACATTAAAATCTGTAAATATAATACATGCTTACTTGAAATTACCACAGCAATGCAAGGTTCAAGCAAAGGCACAGAGACGATTTCCTCTAAGGTACACCTCGCTCCTCTGTTTAAGGTGGCCTCCTACTCTCCTCAGAGGAAAACACACTGCTTCCACTGGCTTAGAAGACCCTGCATGTGGTGGTTCCTGCCTGACTCCCTCCTAGCACCACCTTTTCCTTCCTCACTATCCACCAACCACTGGCCTGTCTCTGCTTCACCCCGCCAAGCACTCTCCCACCTCAGAAGTGGCCCTTGGTCCATCATCTCCCTGTAGTGTTCTTCCTGATGCTCTCTTCCCACAGCTGGCTCTTCTCACTTTCCAAGTACCTCCTCAAATGTCACCTCCTGAGACGACGCCACTCCTACTGACTACATTCTGAACAGCTTCCCTAGTAATTCCTTCTTTATCCCTCTCTCCACAACGTTTATTTCCTTCATAGCACTTATCAAAATCTAAATGAATCTTAACTTAATAGTTTGCCTATATTCATCGCTTCTCTGTGTCATTAATGCCCACTTAGCACAAGTGACGGCTCATCGCTGGTGCTCTAGAAGTATTTGCCAAAAGAATGAAAGGTATACTCTCCCATTATGTAGAAGTATATAAATAGAAGTACCTCTGTCTATTGGATAAACGATCTATGATTAAAAATTACTGAAATTATACATTTATACTATGTCCCACCCACTCACTTTTGAAGCACTTAGCTTTCTAAGCTCTCAAATGTTAAATGTTATAGGAATTTAATTTCCTCTTTCCTATTTATAAAGACTTTCACTTGGATATT